TCCAAGGCAGTGCTCAGTCCTGGCAGTGTGATACTGGGGCCCCTAGGGATGTCTCCAGTGGTGCAGTGCCAGAGACTGCACCCTGGGCCTCAGGCTATAAGCATGCACTTCATCCCTTTGATCATTTCCTGCCCTAGAATTTTTTAAAATAAGAAAATGGTACAATGTGTTTGTGTATTCATGCATGCCATTGAGTGCGTACCCATGTATATGAATTTTCTAGCTATAACCAATTAGCAGAAACTTGGGGGCTCCAAATGATGTGGATTTATTCTTTCATTGTTATATAAACCAGAAGTCCAAAATGAGTTCCACTGGACAGAGATTGTGACTTCAGCGTGGCATTCCCCTTCCCCCACAAACCCCCGCCTCCACTGCTGGGGCAAACTTGTCTTTTCTCCCAGTTTCCCTGGCATTGCTAGCATCTTTCACCAGACCCTGGAATTACTTGGTGTTCTCTGACTTGTAGTAGTGTGACTCCTCATCTCTGTCCCAACTTCACATCATCTTTTCCTGTCTCTCCTTCCTTTTTCTGAGTACAAACACCCTGTGATTCTCTCATAAGCAAATGCATGGAATTTGCATTTAGAACCCACCCATATACCTCCTCTCCATGTCCTGATCATGTAGGGGTGCATACACACATATGCTTGCAGAGAGCCACAGAAGTATAAGGTAATATTCTCTTTGGCCTTATAATATAACACTCATCAATTCTGAGAATCTGGAGATCCATTTTCAGTCTCCCACAGTTGGGTTTGTCAGCTGCGAGTCCAACTGCTGCTAGTAGCTGCCTGTGGAGATAAGTAAGTGAACATCTGGGGTTCATAAGGACACAGAGGCTGTCACCTGTAAGAACCCCAGGTGTGGAGGGTGGAACTGATTGCTCCTGGGTGCGGAAAGAAGAGATAGAAGTGAACATTCTGAAAGGATCTTGAGGGAAGATTGCAAATGTTCAGAGGCCTTCCTAAAACGAAATAGAAATTATTTTAAGAAAGTACAACTAAATGATTACTTCTAAATCATGTTTTTTCCTTCCTGACTTTTTGATGATAAGCAAATACAAATCAGATGATGGAAATTGAGCTTAGAAGAGTTGTGTGACAATTGTGTGCAATTCCTGGCACCATCACCACCAGAAAACAAAAATGTAAACAAACCAGCTTGATAGTTTTTGGACTGGGGTGATGACACAGAGGATTGGAGTCAGACTTTGCATCTTCAGGTTCTAAATCTGATACCCTGGCACTGCATGGTCCCCTAAGCACTACCAGTAGTCTCAGAGTACTGCCAGGTGTGGCCCAAAAACTACACAAAGGAAAATGCATGCACACACAAAAAACACTGATACTTATTACATTATTTTTCTTTTTACCTGTTTATATTAAAGTTCATAATAACCCTGTGAGATCAGTAACTGTTTTGTTTTGGGGCTATATCTAATGATGCGTGGGTTACTCCTGCATCTTTACTCAGAAATTACTTATAACAGTGCTTGGGGAACCATATGGGGTGCTGGGAATCAAACATGGTTGGCTGCATACAAGGCAATTGCCCTACTCACTGTACTATTCCTCCAGCCCCAAGAGTTCAGTAATTATTTATTGCTGCTTTGGAGGCTTATTTGTAAAAAAAGAAAATAGAGGCAGAGGTTGGGCAGAGTAACTAGTTAGTAACAGGATTACCAGGAGTCAAACCCAGAGTTGATATGAGAGGACTTTTTCTCAAAAGTCCTAAAGTCTCTGCTACAACTCCTCTGTTCTCCTGATTGTAGTAAAATAACCAGAGACATTATGTAAATGAGTAAAAAAGCTGTATTTTAAAAGCACTTTATCCACAGAATGATAGTGGTACAGTTTGGACTTTAGCCACTGAAGTATGCTGTACAAAGACATCCTTTTTATCTTGTTTTGTTTAACGTCGTCTTTTCAGATAGCTTGAGACAGAAGAGTTGCATGTGTACAACAGAATTGCTTAACTTTTGTTCACTGCCTCTAATGATAACCCCTTCCCCCAACCATACTATCTTTATGAAATAACATTGGCTTAATATTCTTCACATGATATACCTCACTTTAATGTCATTTTTGTGTGTGTGTGTGTGTGTGTGTGATCCTGTTTCCGTTCAGATGTTTCTCCAGGATCATCTCATACCACATTTAGTTATTTGCCAGTTCAGTCACTCCCAATGAGAGCTCCTTAGTCTTATCACTCATCATCTTGACACTTTTTTAATTAAGTTTTTATTATAACCCTGTGATTCACCAGATTGTTCGTAATACAGTTGTTTCAGGCATTAAATGTTCCAACACCAAATCTCACTACTAGTCTCACCCCCAGTGTGCGCTTCCCTCCACCAGTGTCTCCAGTTTCTACCACCACCAAGTAATTTTGCTTCATATTGTTACGGTACAAAGACAAATGGAGTTATCAAATCGATGAACAACGGGAGGACAGCGACAGTGACAGTAATAATTCCGATATCTCGCAATGTTGTCACTAGTGTCATGGTCTGAAGATCTACCTTGCTGGTTAATGCTCAGTGAGCCTTCTGTGTTTTTGTTCAGGCTCATTGAACTTGGTGGTCTTCTGTGTGACTTTCCAATCACAGTTGTGATCCTACTGGGCTGACAGTACTATGTTATTTTGAGGTGGCTGCAACTGTGTGGTCCAGGAGCTATAGATCTGGAACAATTTGGTAGCTTGGTAGCTTTGATGAGATTCCTTTGTGGAGCTGGGCCGTTTTTTATGTTGGAGGGTGTTGGGTATGGCTGTGGGCTGCTGTGCCCTCAGGCAGAAAGGTGTGTCCACATCCATTCCAAAAAGGCCCCAGAGTTCTCAGCCCAGACCAGTCTACCTGGGAAGGTTTGGCAGTGTCATGTTCTTTTGGAGATCTAATGCTGGACCATTTCTCTGCAGGCAAGATGGCTGTCTGACACTTTTGAAGAGTGATGCCCCGATATTTCATTAGGGGTTCTACCATTAGGTTAGTTTAATATTTTCTGATGATTACAATAAGATTATATACCATAGAGAGATGTGCCTTTCTCTGCATCATCAGGAGGTGCATGATAGCAGCATGTCTTATTACAGGTGATGCTAAACTAACCTTGATCATGTGATTTTAAGTGGTTTTTGCTGGCTTCCTCTTTTTGAATTTGATATTTTCTCCTTTAAAACTAATACTAAAACTAGGGGAGATTTTTTGAGAGTATGCACACATCTTATTTCTCCCTAATTTTTTGCATCCTAATCTTAGTTCCCCTCAGTAGATCCTGACTGGACCAATCATTACTGAGGTGTTAGCCTAATGATATTATTCGATTTTTCTCTGCTCTGTTTAGTAATTGAATTCTTTGCTAAGAAAGAGCTGTCCCTTCTCCCTCCATGAAGCACTTAAGTATTTTTCTGTGTACTTTCCATGGATCTAACCTCAGCTCTCCTTCATTTGTCTTAATTCTCTGCTACACACATTGTGATGTATTGCCCAGTGGGTTTGGCCTCACCTGGGAGCATAAACACAGGCTCACCTGACCATCTGCATCAGAACACCTTTTATGAAGATTCTCAAGTGATTCATGGGCACATTAAACTGTAAGACATGTAGTATCACTTTCCTCTAAAGAGATTTTTTAATACCACCAGCTTCCTGACTTGTATGTCCCTGGACAGGAACGTCTGTACATGAGTCTCCTTGTTGTTCATCCTCGCGTTCTCTTTGGACCCTAAATGTATTACTTATATTCAATTTTAAATTTATTTTAATTCTTTCGTTCATTTTGGGACACCCCTAGCAATGCTCAGGGGTTATTCCTGGCTTCACACTCAGGAATGACTCCTGGCGGTGTGTGGGGGACCATATGGGATGCCAGGGATCAAACCTAGGTCAGCCTAACTGCTGTACTGTCTCTCCAGCTCCCATATTTAATTTTTAAATTTGTATTTACAAGGGTAAGTTTGGGGATCACACCCAGCTATGCTCAGGGCTTGCTGCTGGCTCTACCCGAAGGGATCATTCCTGGTGGGGGAAGGACCTGTCAATCTTACAGTGACGTTATTGAGTGTGTACAGTTTGTGACTGTGCTCTTTGACTGGGTGGCCTGATCCCTTAGTGACAAGAGAAGCTTCCCCTCTTCCCTTGCCTGGTTTTGCACTGCAGTGACAGGCAACACATGCGCTTAGCTGTGGTGCTGGCTAGGGTGCATGCATGTTGGCGGTGGTACTTGAGCAGTCAGCCATGGTGCTCACAGTGCTTGTTCACAGGTGCATTCTGATTTTAGGCTTGCCAGGGCTCACTGTAGTGCTCACATAGGCTGTCCAGGGGCCTCACTATGGGCCTCAGTGCACATCCTTAGCCACAGCGCTCTCTGGGGTTAGACACTTTACTTTTTTTTTTTTGTCTTGTTTTGTGTTTTCTTCTCACCTGCTTTTAAAATTTATTTGTTCTTAAATTTTTAAATTTTATTTATTGCTAAAATCTCAGGACTGGGATGAATGGGATGCCAGGGATCAACAACAGGACTACAGTGATACAGTGATTTTTTTCTAATTGAATCACAGTGATATACACAGTTATAAAATTGTTCATGATTGGATTTCATGATTAGGTGTTGGAATAATGTTCCAACACCTGTCCCTTCACCAATGTTCTTTCCTCACCACCAATATTCCTCGTTTTCCTCCTGCGTTCTGCCACTCCCCCCTCTCCCACCTGCCACTGCCACGATGGCTAGCACTTTACTCTCTCTTTCTCTCTGTCTCTGTCTGTCTGTCTGTCTGTCTGTCTCTCTCCCTCTCTCCCTCTCTCCTTTTGATTCGGGCCTTATGGTTTGCAATAGAGATAATGAAAGTTATTATGTAACTACTTTCAGTTCCTGTCCAAAATGATTTCCAACTACAATAGCGACTATTGTCAGCTGATAGTTTCATCCAAACTGCCCCTTGACCCCCTTGCCCTCCCAGACACACATCCATACACACACCCACACATACTCTTCTGGCAAGCTTCTCGGCCTTTTGGTCTGAGATCCTGTGTAGTATCTGTTCTTACCAGTTTACACTTTTACTTTTGGAACCCTTGCACATCTGGCTGAGTGTCCTGAGTGTCAGAAAATACACACACCGTTGTGTAACCAATTTCTGAGGGCTCCCAAGCAATTCTCTGGGGTCTGAGGGGCCACTCCTGGTGACACTTAGCCCACTGGGCAGAAGGCTTAATACTCAGGGACAATGATGCAGTGCTGCTCATGTGGTGGTGCTGAGGGCCCCAAAGCCCACACCAACAGTGCTAGGGGATCATCAGAACCACACTTTGCATCAGAACCACACTTTGCAGTTCTTGGGGGACCATGTGGTACTCAGGGTTTCAGACATGTAAGGCATAGGTCCTGGGCCCCAGTACTATCTCACTTTTTTGGATTTTGTTTTGTTCTCTTTTGTTTTTTGTACCATACTTGGCAGTGTTCATTGGCTGTTCTTGGTGTGATGCTCAGGGGACCAGGCAGTGTCAAGAATTGAACCCTGGGGGCCAGAGTGATGGTACAGTGAGCAGGGCATTTGCCTTGCACATGGTCAACCTGGATTTGATCTCTGGCATCCCATATAGTCCCTGAGCACTGCCAGGAGTAATTCCTGAGTGCAGAGCCAGGGGTTACATAACAACTGAGCATCACCAGATGTGACCCAAAAAGCCAAAACGAAAAAAAAAAGCAATTGAAGCTGGGGCTCCCGCATCAAAGCATGTGCTCCAGTCTCTTGGGCTATCTCTGTGGCCCTTCATTCTTCACTGATGGGTTGACTAGGAATAAATTCTAGGCAGGAAATAATTTTCTTTTAGAATATTCAAGACATTAGTCTATTTCCCCGCACTTCCAGTGTTTGTGTTAAGAAAACTGGTGTTATTTTAAAGTATTATCTTTTGTATCTAATTCAAGTTTGTCTTCTTCTATGGTAGATTAGCATATTCTCCTTTTTAAATTCTATTTTTTCCCCCTGTGTATTTACAGTCCCAGTTCATTCTGGGAAACTTGGATCCTTAAGATCTGACGCATCTTTAGATTTGTAGACTATTTTGTCCCTTTTCTATATGTTCTTCTTAAAAACAATTATGATTATTAGACTTCTAGGAATCACCAACTCTCTGTTTTCCTTTTCGCCCGTTTCTTCCTTTTTAGTCTTTTTGTTCTGCTTTTGTTTTTACATTGCCAGTGATTAGCACTGAACCTTACACACGCAAGGCAAAAGCTTTGATGCTGAGTTCCACTGTCAATTCGCATTGCACCACACCTGGTGGTACTCAGGGCTTACTCCTGGCTCTGTGCTCAGAGATGAATCCTAGGCAAGACAAGTGCTCTCCCTGCTGTCTTAGTTCTTCTGGTCCTTGCCTTGCCTTGCATTTTATTTTTTAAATTTCATTTTCATTGGCTGGAGCAATAGCACAGCAGGCATTTGCCTTGCACGTGGCCAACCAGGGTTCGATTCCTCCGAGTCTCTAGGAGAGCCCGGCAAGCTACCGAGAGTATCTCGCCTGCATGGCAGAGCCTGGCAAGCTCCTCATGGCATACTCGATATGCCAAAAATAGTAACAAGTCTCACAATTTGTTGTGAGACGTTACTGGTGCCCGCTCGAGCAAATCGATGAACAATGGGAGGTCAGTGCTGGACAGTGCTGGACAGGAAGTATTTTCATAAGCTGGTTCAAATTAATTGATTATATTCAATATTTCAACACCAATATCACCACCATTACATCTTCCCATCACCATTATTTCAAATTTTCCCACCACCATTCAAGCCTACCTACCAGGGGCAGATGCTAGATAATTTATTTTCTATTGCTTATTATGAATATCAGAGAGGTCATGCGGCCGAAGAAGTGTCTGTGTGCTTCTGGAATTCTAAAATTGTAAATTGGGGGCTGGAGGACAGTGGGTAGGGCGTTTGCCTTGCACGTGGTCGACCCAGGTTCGACCCTGGCATCCCATATGGTCCCCCGAGCACTGCCAAGAGTGATTCCTGAGCGCAGAGCCAGGAGTAACCCCTGAGCATTGCTGGGTGTGACCCAAAAAGCAAAATAAATAAATAAATAAAATTGTAAGCGGTTGGGGTTCAGAGATATCTCTGTAGGGAGTTAATACATTTTGAGATTCATTTGTGAGTCTCTGGATCAATTGCTTTGCATTTTAGACCTCTTCTTAGTCCTTCTTTTGTATTTCTTCTTTGGAGTTTTTCACATCTCACTTTCCTTTAGTTACTATTTTATTTTTGGTTTATAGTCCCGCTCCAATGATCCTTAGGGGCTACTCCTGGTCTGAGCTTAGGGTTTCCTTACCACCATGCTAAGGGGACCAGCAGTGCTGGGACTCAAACCAGGGTGTCCTGAATGTAAAACACAAACTTCATCCCTTTAAACTGTGATGACCATATTTTGAATATTACAGTTTAATGGCCTTTGAGGTTTAGATGTCAATTTTGGAAAACAAATACAGACAGTATGTGCATTGTTGTATATATTGGGTGTATCAACAACCATTGGGTCTCTCCTTGGATGAAGCTGAGGACTGGGGTGCAGTCGGTTCTTTAGAGCCAAGCTACCAAATTGGAATGTTCCCTACTGCATTGACCAGGCTATGAACTATCAAGTGCTGGCTTCAGGGACTGGGTAGCAGCAGGCCCTGATGGTTCTAGGTTTGGTTTCCAGTTAAGTTCAGACTTTACGTAGGATTTCTGGGAGGTGGTTGTGGCTCCTGCCCCTCAGTCTCCTGCCAGAATCCAATCGCTCCCTCCCCTTCCTGCTAGCTTCCTGAGCATAGCCAAAAGTCCTTTTGGGGAGTTCCACAGTGCCTTTTTTTTTTTCCACCAGCACTTCAGCCAAAGCCTAAGTCTTGGCTTTATTCTACTCTAAAACACAGCTACATGCATGCTCTTATCTTTGTGTTTGGCTCTCTCAGTGGTAAGCTGGTCTGGACCCGTTGGTTCATTGTCTTTCGACCAGAATCTCAGCTGGGAGACAGGTAAGTCCTTTTCATGCTGTTGGGTGAGGTGTCTCTGTGTGTCTCTGTGCATCCTGGGGCTACTGATAGGCGTGTGTGTGTGGGTGGGGTGGGGTGGGGGGTAGGGTCTGTGGGGTGCAGCCAAGCTGGGCTCAATGTCATTTCTTCACAAAAGCGTTATTGTAAAGGGTGAATTTTATTAAAGGAACGCTAGTTAAACTCTATTGTGGCTTACATGTGGCTCTTTCCATCAGTTGTATTTGTTTTTTTGATACCAGACACTGAACTCAAGACTTCACACATACAAGGCGCCTCTTGAGTTATAGTCCTTCCTCAGAGCATTAATTTTTTAAAAATTATAGTTTAGATAGGTTATAAAATAGTGACCAGGTTCTTGATATTGATCATAACAAAAAACTGAGAAGAGCACATGTTGGCAGGGGTGTGGAGAAAAGGAAACTCTCATTTACTTCTGGTGGGAATGTCTCTCAGAAGAGCCTCATGGACAACACTATGGAGACCACTCCAAAAGTAGGAATGGAGCTTCCATTTTACCTCGCTATCCCACTTTTAGGTGTCTACCTCTAATAACAGTTTTTTTTTTCTCTTAAAGAAAGTAAATTTCAAGTTCTGGTAATAGACTTGAAAAACCAACTTCTTGGCCCAGGTCCCATGAGAAGTTGGGGACTGCCAGGAGGAAAACTGTCATCATCACATATTCATGAAGCTCCCACTCGTGTCGCACGCTGTTGTGACTGCTGGGCCTAAGCTGTCTCTGCTGGGCCTGTGTTTAGAAGCTGTAATAACAACGCCTTACAAATTGCCCTCGGAACCTCAACCCACTGGGAGAGCTGTCTCTGAATATTTTGTTTCTTCCTAATGGGGAGGATGAAGGCAAGAAGTGTTCCCTGTCTGAGAATGTGCAATTTTAATTTAAATGCTTCCGCTCCTGGAGCCCAAGTCTTTTAGCCACTGAGCCTGCACTAATTTGCGTGCGTCTTTGGGGGGACTGGGACACTCTTTTTAGAGCTTTTTAAAATGGGTCCTTCCTATTGGTTTAGCTTTTGCTTTCAAGTGAAGTACTCTAAGAATAATGAGACACATAACGATTTTCAAAGATTAAAGCAGTGTGTTCTAATGTGAGGTTTACAACTAATTGCCTGAACTAATTATACATAAAGGGCCCAGCTATTAGTGTTAATAAGCAGTGACTTCACGAAGTACAGTTTTGACCCAAAGACTGAATAACTTACCAACAGTAACCACTGAGGTGGTGTCCACTGTCTAAAACACCTTGGTTGGAAATAATTTAGGCCTATTTAGATGAGTTGTTTTTTTTTTTTTTTGAGTTGTTGCCCCTACACTTACTTTTCCTCTTCAGTGGAAGTCTGCACCCTTTTGTATAGAGAGGGCTATGAGAGCATATGAAAACTCTTTTTGTATAAATGACTGTGGGCTTTGGCCGACTCAGCCAGCCCAGGTTCGATTCCTCTGCCCCTCTTGGAGAGCCCAGCAAGCTACTGAGAGTATCTTGCCCGTATGGCAAAACCTGGCACGCTACTTGTGACGTGTTTGATATGCCAAACACAGTAACAACAAGTCTTACAATGGTGACGTTACTGGACCCGCTCAAGCAAATCGATGAACAACGGGAGGACAGTGACAGTGACAGTGACTGTGGGCTTCATCAACATGGCTTCTCTTCAGGCTCGTCTTTCTAAAACATGAGTGGGTTCCCGGTCAATCCAAGGTCTTCTCACTCTGCACACTTTTTCTGTTTGTTCTCATCAATTTCTGTGGTAGCAAACCCCATGAACTGATACCATTTGAATTGCAAAGACACATTTTCATATGGAAATTTCACCAAAATTGCCAAGTTGTACATGTTCAAAGCAGCACGGTGATCCTCTCTCCCGCATCAGCTCTCTGCCACCTGCCCTAGCTCCTTGGGAAATGGTCCAATGCAAAGCCGTGTTCTGTTGATTCTTTTCCAACTGTTTCTCTTTTTCCCATTATCCTGCCTTTTCTCATGCTGTTCTCGTTTCCTGGACTGTAATAGAAGCCTTGTACCTGCCTCTCCCCCCACATCTCGTTGGCCTTCTACATTGCATACAACTGCTAGAAAGTACTATAGTCCAAATCTTACCATGATATCATTCACTTTAACATATATAGTAGTTATCCATTGCTGAAA